AAGCAAAAGCTAAAGGAGTTCATCACCACCAGACCAGCACTACAGGAAATGTTGAAGGGTCTTCTTTAAGAAGAAGTTAATGAACAAAAGAATCTGATGAACTAAATAGATCCAGAGACACTGACGCATGCAGCAGACGATCATATTTCAGAGGAAAGAGGGAAGGGGATGGAGGGTGGGAAGAGATTAACCAAAGAAGTTATATGCATATATGCATAACCCATGGACACAGTCAATAATGGGGGGAAGGCCTGGGGAGGGGGTGGGAGNGGGGTGAAGGCCTGGGAGGGGGTGAGAGCGAAGTGGAGGGGGTCAATTGGGAAAAAATGGGACACCTGTAATACTCTCAACAATAAAGATAACTTTAAAAAAAACAAAAACACAAAAACATGACTCCTACCCCACCCCCCATTCTCTCCCATCAGCCTTCCACCTCTGACAGTTCTCAGAGCACAGGCCCTCCATCCCACCATCGACACAACAGCTTGTGAATGCCACACTGTTTACCAAGCCTCACCCCATCTGACCCCCACAGGAATTCTCCAGCCATGATTACCCCAGACCTCCTTCTTAGAGGTGAGAAAATAAGATTCAGAAGCTCTGTGAAGTCCCCACTGTGGCTCAGCTCCTGCGGCCAAACCAACTTCACGGGCATCATGTTAGTGCAGTGATTTCAGCTGGTGTGCAGCAAGAATCTTTAAAACATGCAGTGCCTGACTATTTAGTCAGGGGCACTGACCTCTTTTTCCTCAGACGGTCAAATAAAAAATGACAACACTATAGCCATCCGGTGTGAATGAAACAAAATCATGCCTTTTGGGGGGGGGGGCAGATCGGCAAAAAATGTATTTTTTTGGTGTGCGGCAGAATTTTAGTAATTATGTTTATGTGCGCCGTGGGATGAAAAAGGCTAAAAATCGCTGAGACAGTGTTACAACCAGCAGCGAAGCAGAGGAGGCGACCAAAGCTAGTGAGGCATCTGGGAAACGGTATTAAAAATCATTCCAAGAACAACGGCGCACTCAGGAGATGGTGCACACGTCGCAACGTGCCACTGAGCAGAAGACGACACACGATACGCAGTAGGGTTACCAGTTACATAAGGTTCCGACACAGGCAAAATTAAACGGCGTTTCTTAGGAAGGCATCAATAGGTGGTGAAACCAGAGACACGCAGGAAGGAAATGATCACCAGGGTCAGTGTGAGGCTTCTGAACGCAGGGGCACTGAGGACTGCTGTCCTGTGACTACGAAACACCCACTGTTCTGCACGTAGGTCATCGTTCACTATTTTACACAAATAAAAAGGAAGTGGAGCCACTAGGTTGACTCATTAAATCCATGTAACTTCTGATTCCTAAGCCTTCCGAGTTAACTCTTATACCCAGTAACTCTTACACCCAAACTGCCACTACATACAAAGCACAACTTCCCAAGAATCTTAGTCCCTTGTACCTCCAGGGGGAAAAAACAAAAGACTCCTCTCCTGTAAGCAAGTATCTGCCATGTTCTTTCTACTGTTTAGGGCTACCAGGTCCTAGCTGGGGGGCGGGGTTCTGCTCTCCCTGGAGTCCAGCTTTCTGTTCCCTCTTTCCTCACAGAAAGTTACCGCAGACAGTTGGGGGTAAAAGAGCCACAGACGGCTGGGGCCTCATGACATCTCATCCTTGTGTCATGACAGAGGGTCACCCTCCAGTGCAAACATGAACAAGGTCAACCTCCTCTGAACTGTGGAGCAGGAACCTGGTTTCTCGCATATGGCCTAGTGGAAGAAAAGGGCCTTATCACTGAAGTTAACAGGGATGGGCCACGTCAACAAGCCTCAAGGGGAGACCTTGGCCGATGCATTCACAGCAGCCTGGCTTCAAATCCCAGCTTTGCTGCTTAGTGCCGCTGTGACCTGATGAAGGTCCCAAAGTGTAAGAATGAAGAGCTTAAGATCCCTCACCTGGCCCCGGACAGGTGGCTTAGTTGGTTGCAGAGCCATTCCGTACACCAAAAGGTCGCAGGTTCGATCCCCAGCCGGGTGCATACAGGAGGCAACCATCGATGTTTCTCTCTCTCTCCCTCTCCCCCTTTCCTCTCTCTAAAAATCAATAAATAAATCCTTGGGTAAGAATTAAGATTCCTCACCTATGGTAAGTTTGGGACGACAGTGTCTATTCTTTACAGAGATGTTGTGAAGGGGAGGGAAAAAAGAGATGTAAACCTTCTGGAACACAGTAGGCATTCAATAAATGGTGTTACTCTCATCAAAAAACGCAATGACATTGACAGCTCTCTCACGGAAGTAAAACGAATTTTGCTGTTTCCCACCCAACATGTGACATGGTACAGCTGGTTGACCTTGGGACAATTCTTGATCTTTCCTCTCATGTGATTGGAAAACATAAAAACACTTACCTTAAAAATCTCTGGAAATCCTTAACAGAAGAATTAATTCCACCAATAGAAATAACTCCTGCCTCCCAACCTCCTTACAATGATAAAATGTGAGGGACATAAAATTTAAAAAGGAGAGTTAGGTAGCTTATCTAGAGGTCAAGCTACAATTGCTAAGTTAATTAAGACCAGTAAAGACACACATAATTACAATATAGATTTCCCAAAAGCCCAAATTCAACCTTAGGGTTTTTAGTTCCTTTTTCTGAAAATCCACGCTTCCCAGCAATAAATATATATTCTAACGAGTGAACGTGCTGATAATTAGGAAAATAAAAAAATAAAATAAAAAAGGCAGGAAAGGTCAAGAATTAAGATCCTACATAAAACAATGCACCAAATAATTTGCAAATAATAGCTGACTGTTGTGCAATGTTCATGTTGTGGATTCAACTCTTACAGCAGAGTTTTCTGTTGGCGAGGAGGAGCGGGGGCAGAGATGGCAGATGTACGTTAAACTCAAACCCAGGTACGGTGGGCTTTTCATTTTAAAACTTTGCTCTCTGGTTCTTGTTTCCTACGCAGCCCAGCTGGCTCACTCCTACTACCTCTGTAACTTTCTAAAGAAACTTTCTCTTATAATTTGAAAAAAACAATTTGCTCTTTGTTAAGGTGTGACGCAGGCCTTTGTTTAAAGGTATGTGGTAAGAAACGTGAAGGTATTAAGCAGAAATAAGGAGCCAGCGCCCTGTGGTGTTGGTCTGGATTTTACTTCTCACAGGCGAGCCAGTTTTCCGATCTCCCACAGCCGCCTCCACTCTGCCCAGTTATTTTCAGCTAGCCCTTCATAAGAAGGCACCAAGAGCTCTGCAGAGCACATAGCTCCCCCTGACACACCCGGCACCTCCTGCTTCCCCATGTACAGGTTGTCCCACCATACCTACCATAATGGTGTGCTCTGGAAATTTGGTACGGACGAGTTTCACGAATTCCACAAAATGCTCCGAATAGCCATTGGCCACATCCAGGCAAATAAACTTCACCTGCGGCACAGCTTCCAGGATGCTGCTCATCTTTTCCAGATCATTCTTCCCACTGCCGGAGCTCACGGCAATATGCTGTACCAAAGCAAACCAAGAGGGGGCCAGGCACGGACAGTGAGTAGTACTCGGAAGTCAGACCCTTCCTCCATCCACTGGGGACAGTACAGCGACCCTCGGAGGTTACCCTGATCAGACATGCACGCGGTGGACCTGCTCGAGAAACACGCAGCAGCAGAGTGAAGGACATCCATTCATTCAGTTATCTAAACGCTGCCTCTGTTATCTTCCCCTCCGTTAAACTGCATATATCCTTAACCCTGGCCTCAGCCACATAATGTTTCCAGTTTATTGAGTAGCCAGGAAACCCAGTCCTTGGCACCCGTTTCCTTTCCTCAAGCTCTCTCTGTGGACTCTGAATCACAGCACCGCTGGTGGGGATCCCTCCCTCCCGGAGTGGAGGGCAGACAGGAAGAATGAAGGGGAGGCCAGGCACTCGGGCCTCCTTACGCCAACGCTGAGGCCGTCACCCCGAGCATCTCACTTAGGGGATCAGGAGGGAGGGAGGGAAAGGTGTCTAAAACTCCTCTGATAAAACCCCTTCCTATTTTCATTTTTACTCCCAATACAGTACTAACACAACAGGCAAACCGTAACCCAAAGAGCTGCAAATCCCAGTGTTTCTCTTAAAGGGGGCCAAGCCTCTGAAGGTACGAGAACAAAGGAGCCCAAAAGGATCTTTCCCAACTGCACTTGGATGGGTTTCCATCTGAAGCCACTGCACCCCCCTTGGTGACCCCTCTCTCCCCCAACCTCCACAGCACCAGTGCCTTCTAACCCACCCCTCGGCTCCTCTGAAAGATGCTCTTTGGGAAAAGACCTGTGTCTGATGATTTATGCCTTAGGGAAATTAAGCCATGGGACTGTGCCCAGAGTTAGCATCTCACCTTTATAAGAATATTATAAGAATATTTTAACTTATATCTCTAAACCATAAGCCAGAGGAGAGACATATAGGGTGTATCCCCAAAATGTATACACATACTAGCTATAAAGGCAGTGTTTATTAGAATCATTTCATTTTCAAAATTGATCTATCAGGTGCTAAAGTGTGTATACCTTTTGGGGGACACCCTGTATGTATATTAATATCCTTGCTATTCTCAACAAATCACAAGAATGTAGCTACAACCCAGGCACTGAGAGTAAGCAGAATGTAACATGATACATAATGACTCCCCATTCCTGGATTTACTCATGTTGACAGTCTGACCGGTGCAGCTCAACCCACACGTTTTCCCTCCCACAAGAGCTTTGCTATCTTTATTTTCCTCGCCTTTGCTGTTAAAGTTTGGCACGCTGGAGCTGAGATTAGTTATTCTCGGTGCTACTGAGTGTTTAACATTTTCCCTTTTTAGAAAATCAGGTGGGGGTGGGGCAGTTAAGTCCAATGATCACCCTTGGTCATCACCAAAGTTCCAGTTAACCCCACACGGTCCCCAAATCCACTGCCTTCCCAACGTCTTCCAGGAAAGAGGGGAGGAAGGTGAAATTAGTTCATCTAAACACAATATGGCAAAAAGGAAGGATTCGCTATTAAGCCAGAATCATTTTATCTCTGAAACCACCTTCTCACTAATCAAAACCCACACATAATTAAAGCATAGCCAAAAACAACAACAAAAAAACAGTGCCACCTCAGAAACAGCCCAGGATGAGTCATTTTGCAATCACAGGTAATCTGATCTTGGAGGAGAGTCTCCAGCGCAGACGCTCTGTTGGCCCTGGCTCAGAAGCACCCCGTGTGCCAGGAGGGAAGCCAGGCTTATCATAGTGGGGCTTTTTGTTATTTTCAAACTGCCCCTTTTAAAAAATAATAACAGCTTTATTGAGATATAATCTCATACCATACCATTCACCCATTTCAAGTACACAATTCAATGGCTTTTAGGATATTCAGAGTGGTGCAACCACCATCCCAATTGGTGTTAGAGTATTTTCATCACCCCAAAAGGAAACCCTCATACATGTTAGGACTCACCCTCCAAACCTCCCGTCCCTCAAGCCTTAGGCAACCACTAATCTACTTTCTGTCTCTACAGGTTTGCCTATTCTTGACAGTTCATATAAACAACCATATATGTGGCCTTGTGTGTCTGGCTTTTTCACTTAGCAAAACATTTCCAAGGCTCATCCAGCTGAAGCACATGCCAGCACTTCATTCTTTTTTGTAGTTAAATAATATTCCATTGTGTGGATATACAGTTTTCATCCATCAGCTGATGGATATCTGGCCTGTTTCTACCTTCTGGCTATTATGAACAATCTGCTACACACATCTCTGTACAAGTTGTTGTGTGCACATATGCCTTTACTTCTCTTGGGCCGATAACTAGGACTGGAACTGCTGAGTCATAGGGTGACTCTTACGGTTAACCTTTTTGAGGAACTGCCAAACTGTCTTCCAAAGCAGCTGCACCATTTTACATTCCCACCAGCAATACAAGAGGGCTCTGCTCTCTCCACATCCATGCCAACACTTGTTACTCTGTCTTTTGATTATAGCCACCCTAGCAGGCATACTGTTTATTCAACTCCAAAACAATTTGTTATAATTAGGTGTTTTTTTCTAAATCCAAAAGGACTATCTGGATTGGATTTACCCCTGGCAGGAAACAGAGGTCTTCCCCAAGCTTTCATAATATAATACTTCACCTTTCAAGAGAAAAAAAACCCATACTCCTTGCAAGTAAATCCTAGTATTTTCAAAACAGGATACAGAGCAGGTTTCCTCAGTAAATCCCTGGCATCGAGGAAGGACTGGGGGACCACTACTGCATTTCCCGAGGTCTCTCTCTCAGGTGTCTGTGTGTCTATCTGCTGATTCAAATCCTTTTGACAACCCCAAAGATTTTCTACCCGCCGCAACAAATGCAATAGTCCTACCTGCAGGCATTCTGGGTGATTAGTGGCAAAGAGCTTCCAGTCATCCAGGGTGTAATGCTTGTGAATCGCTGTGAACATGGAGTGCTAGGGAATGAAACAGCACCGTTAGGAGGAGAAGTCAAGTGGGCCTCCGCAAGGCGGGGGTGAGCCAACAGAACAAAAGTATCCGGTGTGCCTGCCAGTCATGTTTAATTAGCTTTGAATATGCTCCTAGGAGCCAAAAACAGACAAAGGTGAAACCAGTGAAATCACAAAAGGGGTTTTCCATTCTAATCTGATCAGACAATACTGCATTCGGAATTTAGGAGGCTCTGCCAAGAGGCAGGGGAGGGAAACCAAAGAGTTCTGAGCTCTGCCCCGCTGACCACCCGCATTAGGTCAAGGGCAGCTCCCCTGCCCATAAGAAGGGCCCCCTTAAGGCAAATTCTGCTTAGCCAACCCAAAAGAACCTCAACTTGTACATGAAAGCTTTTCCTTGTGTTCACAACCTAAGCATTTCTTGCTAAAAGCTAAACCCATCGGGCAGTTGGTATCCCTAAGGAAGGGAATTATGTTATAATAGTAAATCTATGACTATCAACCTGGCATTTACTGAGTACCTACTTCATGCAAGCAGTTTGCATACATTATTTCGTTTACTTCTCTAAACAACTTTGTACACTAATATTAGCTTTGTGGGCAGAAAAGGAGCTTAAGAAGTTTAAATTGAAGAACTTTAACAATTGCTTGGCCAGTAAGAGACAAAGGCCAGAGTCAAACTCAAATCTGAATGGAGAGCTCAGGTTCCTTCCCCTCTGTCAGGGCCTCCCTCCTCACTTGTCTGGGTCAATTTCTCCATCCGCAGTTTCCCATTCTAAAATTCTATGACTTTATCTACTTACACTGACTCAGTGGATCCCAGAAATAGAAACTTCATAGTACCCACGCATGGTGAGCTATTTCAGTGTACTATGTCTCACTAACAGGAAGTCTTTTTCGTGAAAATGGAAAGAGCATAACAAGTTGAATGTTTCTCATGGACTAATAATCCAATATGGGAATTAATCAGGGCTATTTATTGCTCCCTGAATCCACCCACTTTTACATGAAGACCTAATTCATTAGTAGCAACAGCTGATCACAGAGCAGATGGGGAGAAAAAAATACAAATTCCTTTAGCAATTAATTTATTAGCCTCTGACCCAAAGCTCAGTGGGGGCTGAGGGCTGACAGATAATACAGCTGATCATGGAGTCAGACAGACCACCCCCACACCATTTTTTGAGCTCATAACCTGTTTGAAGACCTTCCTTCTAATCACTAGCTAATGATGATTCCCAGCACCTCCTGAGGTTAGACTTGCTGCCCACAGCGAGAAGCTCTTTCAACTAATTGGATTTATTTTTTTCCACTTGGCAGGATTATCAGGGGAAATAGATGCACACACCCTGTGCACATTACAAGCAAATGTCTGCATCTAGGATGAATAAATGCCTTGCACCTGGGACACGGCTGTGTGAAATCAAGGTCCTGCCCACAAAAGGCTTTTCCTTTATTTCTCCCAAGGCCAGGATGCAAGCTACTCCATTTATAGAAATTAGGCTGGTAATTGGCCAAAAGGGACCTTGAGCTTGTACTGCGATCTGTCGGTGTAAGTTGAGAGACAAATCCCCTATTCTGGAGTCAGTTTGGGTTTGAATCTTGACTGTCTCGACTTGGCTGAACTCCCTGGGCCAAGTTACATCTCCTCTCCTTCTGCCTCAGTTTCCTCATCTGTAAAAGAAACCTACCAGTGAAGCTGTGACATTATATCATTATATCCAGTGTTTGGCACATAAGTGCTCAATAAGTGTTTTCTACAAATGATGGAATAAATGCCACAGCACAGCCTGCATATGAAGCAGTTCTGTCTTCATTTAAAGGCTCGCTCCTCTATAACCGGCACTTAACTAACTTTACAATATGGCACAATGTCCAACTTCTCTCTGTAGCTCTAATCATGGGCATCTTCAAGGAAGCAATGGATGTGGCTCTAGACCAGGGGTGGGAACCTTTTTTCTGCTAAGGGCCATTTGGATATTTATAATATCATTCATAGGCCATACAAAATTATCAACTTAAAAATTAGCTATGAAAAAAGCTCCTAGATTTATTAATTTCAAGTCTGGCCTGCGGTTGCCTTGGTTGTCCCGCTGGCCGGATGCTCCCCACCCCTGCTTTAGACCATCTCTAAAGTCCAGACTCCAGCATCTTTTCTGATTGAAAAGAAGGGAAGAAAACAAGTGCCTCCCACAACAATCAGACTCAGAACTAAACAGTTCGGCCACAGCCAAGGACCCAAGCGTCTCACTTTTCTCTTCCCTGTGTCTGAACGAGACCAGGGAGGGCTCCTGACAACCGGTCCGGTGTGAGCAGCAGAGGGGAAAAGCCCACCATCCTACCTGAGACATCACCGCTGCCATCTCAAACGTGCCCACGGTGTCCATGTTGGCCACGATGATGGGAATCCCCGAGTAGGTCTGCTTCGAGTTCCGAAACGTGAAGGTACGCTCAAGATCCACCTGTTGGCAAAGAGGGAAAAGAAGTGCTTTGCTCTTCGCATGACCTGTGCAGAATTTCTAGAGCCTGAAGCCAGTGGTGAAGAACACAAAGGAAGTGCATGTCCCTTAGGTCCTGGATTCTCCCAGTGCTGGGCCAGATGTTCCAAAGACAGGAGAGTCCCTGAGGAAAGCGAGGAATGGCTGTTACCCAGGTACAAAAGTTGAACCTGGCTCCCTAGCATCCTCAAAGGCCAGCACAAGGCACTGCATGCTCTGCCATCAAGCCCAGCCTCCGAATCGTAAATTCTCTCCTTCAGGAGCCTCTCCCATGGCACTGTCACCTTCTGTGTCCAGCCTGGTTCATCCTAGCCCTGCATACCACATACAAGTTCTCTCTCCCCACTTCCCAGCACTGGAGAAACAGTCCCCCTTCTGAGAACATCCACCCCACTCCTCCCTGCCAGCCATGGCCCTCCCTCTTGTTTTCACTTTCCACTCCAAATTCACCCTGCAGTGAGCTGCAAACCATGAATCCCTTAACCTTTCAGCCTCCTCAGCTGTTTTTGTAATTAGGAGCATCTTTCAAAGGGCTGGGGGGAGGACACTGCAGCCATCTGTCTACGCATATAAACACTTGTTCCTCTGACTCGCAAACAGCTGGAGGGAGGGCCCTCTAATTCTACTGTAACTCCATCGTCAGGGCATTAGGACTAACCCCAATCAGGAGAGCTAGGCCGTGATGGTGGGCTCAGCAAAAGCACTGTGCTAAGGGCTCATCAAGAGCTGCAGAATCAAAATTACTTCTTCGACCCAGGGCAGACGGAAGGCCTGTATGCTCACAGATCCGCAGATCCGTTCCTCACCCTTCTGCTATCCCCAATTACAGGGAAGCCACCTCCCGAAGGCTCCACTTCCCAGGCTAATTTCTGTCTGGGTTCAGCTAATGGGGTCACTGGGTAGAAAGCTGGGGGACAGTGAAGAAGGTGGGGTTGGGGCCTGGGTGTAGTCTATGTAGTTCTCCCAGAACTCCTCTGCCATGGCCTGCAGGGTCTTAGTTCCAGCGTTCACCGAGTGATCCCAGTCCCTGCGCCCAGTAAGATCATCTTCCCCACTTTGGATGTGGATTCTCACTGCTGCCAATCTCTGGGGTGCCTCAAAATCTCATTTGGTATCTCAGCAATGTCAGGATGTCTTGCATTAAATTCCCTGTTTTAAATATTCAGCACTGTTTGTTCCAGTGGCTGGACCTAATGGATACAGAGCCTACTGAAAGTGGGCACTTCCCCAGGGAGAACCAGCAAGAGAAACTCCAGTGTGAATCTTAAGCTTCTGAAATAAGCTGGACCTACTCACATGGATCCTGGCCTTATGAGTACACCAGCAGTAACCATTTCCTACCAGTGTTTATCCAGTTCCTTCTTTTATTCTTTTCATTTGAGACAAGTTTCACTTTGTAATCAAAATGTCAAAAACCACTACAGGACATCTCAGGCCTCCTGCTTCTCCACACAGGGTTTCCTGTTCACCTGGCCTCCTGGGCAAATGATGTCATAAGCATGTCCACCTGGGCCTTAAACACAATAAATGAGGGGAAATGAGGTGCCTCATCCCTTTTTCAACTTCTTCATTATGATTCTTGGTTCTGCTCCAGTGAAGCCCGTTATATGTAAATTCTGAAAGGTAAGTGAAGAGGTCTTTTTGTTGCAACTTTCTGTGCTGCTAATGGCCCTAGCATTTTGACTTCCCAGGCTTAAAATAATCAGAATTCCTTGGTCTCAAATTACTCTTACACTCCTCCCAAGATGCATGGGGAGAGATGCTATCTAGCACCCAGCTGAGCTCACAATGGGTTTTTCCTGGCACTCCAAACCCTATCTATCGGCAGTACACAAAAACAGAGCTCTTCATGGAAAAGGTCAGCCTTAGCAATGAGCTCTTCCCTCACTTCTAGTCTTCTCCAGATGGTAGATTCTATGCAAACCTTAATTCTAAAAATGATAAATAAAATTATCTTCCCAACCTTATACACACACACACACACACACAAAATAGACCAGTTGTTCCCTGAGAGAGATATCTAATTCCAGCCTCCCAGGAACAAAATTTAGGATTTAATCTGCCACGGCTGGTCAATGCACCCAATATAGCACCTCCAAATTCTCACTCTGCTACACTGATTTGAAAGGGAGCAAAAAGTAATAAACCACCCTGCCCCACCTGCAGCTCCTTAAACATACCTTCATTAAAGTCAGCCAGCATTTGAGGGCCGGAAAGTACAAAGGGAGGCCCTCCTACCACGGTTCTAAATACCTCAATGTTACAAGTCAAGCTAACAAGCTGCTACATAAATTTTGTTCTATTCTCCTACCTTAACAAGCACAGTTTCATTAATGACCTGAAAAACACCAGAATATGGTGTCATGGGAGCTGCTGGCCTGCAGTCCACATTCCCTTGCCTTCCACCCAAATCCTGTGTTCACACACATGGACACCCCAGTCCACATATTAAATTCCAGGCACACACTTCCATTCCAGTTGGCCACTCTCTGAGGTTAGAGGCAAGCATACCAGCAGCACGGATGGCCCTTGCAGGCCTTGGAATCAGCTCCAAGTCATGAGGGCAGGGAAATCCAGGATCCTGAGTACCTGCAGAAGGGCCTAGAAGGAACAGCAGAGCCCACAGGCCCCGCCCAGTGAGGAGGGGTCAGGGGACCCTTTGGCCTAGACCTGTGAGTGGTACTAATGAAAGCAATTCTCTTATTAAGTACGTTGTTCACTATCTGTCTCACCTGTAGATCATAAGGCTAAGTACAAGGATAATGCCTTTCATCTTTGTAGTCCTACTGGCTCAAAAGTGAAATAAATTAGCCCTGTGTAATTGTTGGAGCATCAAAACGTGCACCAAACATTTGTGGGTTCAATTCCCAGTCAGGGCACATACCCAGGTTGCAGGTTCGATCCCAGTCAGGGTGCATGCCAGAGGCAACCAATCGATGTTTCTCTTCCCCTTCCTCTCTCTCTAAAATCAATAAAAACATATCCCTGGGTAGGAATTTAAAAAAGGAGGGGGGATAAATTAACATCTGGGCAAGGGGCAAGAATAATATCATTTTGGCACCTGCCTTTTTCAAGCCCTCTGTAAGGGCTCTGTCCCCAGGAACTGTCACCATCAATTCTCAGGAGAAGCACACGCAGCTGCACATTACCAGGCAGCCACAGGTTCCACAAATGAAAGGGATCCCCGTGGCCAGTACAGAGCATCCACGCACACGTGAGAATTATCACAGGGTGATGTCCAAAATACACGTGCTGGGGCTGCCTCAAACTTAACAGATCAGAACCTTTGTGTTGGAGACAAGTATGTGTTTTTTGGAGGATCTTCCTAGATGATTCTGAGGCATCCATGAATACTAAGTCTAGTCAAACCCTTTAATTTTACAGAGAAAAGCTGTTATGGTTTATGTCTCCCCCCAAAGATGTTGAAGTCCTAACCACAGACCTTATTTGGAAATAGGGTCTCTGTGGATGATCATGGTAAAATGAGGTTAATTAGGGTAGGCCCATTCCAACATGACTGGTATTCTTTTAAAAGGCGGAAATTTGGACACAGACACAAAGAAAGGGAGAACGTCATGTGAAGATGAAGGCGGAGATCAGGGTGGCGCATCTATAAGCCAAGGAACACCTAAGACTGCATGTAAACCACCAGAGAGAGGGGACTGGAACAGATTCTCCCTCACAGCCTCAGAAGGAACCAACCCTGCCAAAACCCTGACCTGGGACTTCCAGCCTCCAGAGCTGTGAGACAATAAATATCTGTTGTGTAAGCCATCCAGTCTGTGGTGCTTTGTCACAGCAGCCCTGGGAACTGATCCAAAGGCAAAGGTAATAAAATAATTTGGGAAAGAGCTTAGACTGCAACCCAGATTTCCTTTTTCCTAGCCTGACAGTCTCTCCATCTACCAGGCTCTCAACCCTGGCTGAGGATCACTCAGGCTGGACCCACTCATGAAACAATTACTACAGAGCTTTAGGGAGACTGAACACTCATTATTTTCCCTGTCCTAGGACAAGTGGCCAATTTTCTGATGCAAATTCTCTTCAATGACTGACCTCCAAAGTTAGAGCTGCACGAGTAAGCTTGTTTTGCTTTTTTTAAAAATCTGACTAGTGTAAGGACTAAGTTGGGACATCTAAGCCAGTAATGGGTCGTGAGGAAGAACATGCTCAGAGAATCAAGGGCATGAGCTCCCCAGCCTATCAGATAAAGGTCTTGCCTCAGTCAACAAATATGCCATTTCCTCTGAAAAGATGACCCAAATGCCCCCACAAGTCCTGTGACACTTTATTCTTGTGTGCCAGGGGCTTGTAAAGACATAAGTAAGGGCAATGAATGGATGGCCAGTTGAGAGATCACTACCCATCTGGTACAACCAATGCAAGGCCACCCTGTCCACCTCCACCAGTACCCCTTGCCTCTGGAAGGTGACTTCAAATTCACTGTATGTGACACTGTGGAAATGCCCCAGCAAGAGTATTCAAACTTTCCGGTGGAAGATCACTCTGCCTTTCTCTCCACTTCCTGCTCACTGCATGATGGTCAGCACCAGGCCTGGCTCAGAGCAAAACTGTTGCAGTGATCACTCTTGTCAATGGTCAAAACTCTCCCTTTTTGGCAAGGCTCTGCTTTCATGGGGTATGTTTTCTGTCCCGGCTCCACTCAGATCTGCTCTCTGGTTCAGCTCAAAGTCGGTCATTTGCCAGTCATTTACAATTCAGCTTCGAATTTGCATTCCAGTATCACTTCTGCCAGGGGGCATACATTTGGCTTCTATCTAATTGTGCAATGAAAAGTTTTTAACCTGCCTATAAAAAATTTCAGGCATCCACAAGCAAAGTGAGAAAACATTGAAAGGGGAGTAGAAGCCTAGTTAGATCTCGATCTAACTACATCCCTCAACACCACTGAAGCAGGCAGGCAGATTATGAGGGGCAGCCAGCCAGGCAGCTGCCTCGGGCACCAGGGAGCTAAACTATTACAGGAACCAACTGGAGAGGCAATGCCAGTTAACTCAGGTTTCCAGTCACAGAGCTGGCAAACTCCCACAAAACTGGAAATATGAAAATGCTTCCCAAGGACACAGAGTTCTCATTGCAATGTGTAGGTGTAGCTTGTAAGGTGCCATCAGAGGC